CTCAGAGGTCGCTAGTCTGCCTGTACCTGCGGCTCGTGGGGAGCCCTAGACAAGTGCGGGACAACCGGAGGCCGCAACGAAACCAGGCCCCAACGCCCGGCATGGCTGTTCTGGGCCGTGGGCCGGGCCAAGGCGGATAGGAAGGAAGACGCTAGGCTGCAAGGGGCGGGCCGGGCACTGACTAGGCAGTCGCGGAGGACAGTCGCGGGGTGGGTACTCACCCGACTCGGGGCCGCATGGCTGGTCTCCGAGCGCCTCCCGATGGCCGCGCACGGGGTTGCAGGCTGGACGGTCGCAGGCTGCACTGTTGAGGCTTAGGAGGACCTGGGTCTATGCACAAAATTGGGCTGAGCACGACTGGAGTTACACCCCTATCTGAGGGATAATGACCTTCTGTGAGGAAAACACGGAGGGCTACGGGATGCTAGGGCATGGAATATGAGAACCAACCCGTGCCCCTTTTACAGAGGAGGAAAAAAAAAAAAAAAAAAAATGAGGCCCGCACTCTGGCCCAGGCCCACCCATCTAGCAAGTTTTGCCTTTGTTCAGCCTCCTCACCTCAAGGTCCTGCCCACCACAGAGTGCCTTGCTGAATAATAACACCTTCATTTAGGTTCTTCTGTATACCTTACTGGAGCTCTGGTAGCATAGTGGCTAAGGCACTTGACTGCTAACCAAAAGGCTGGCGGTTCAAACCCACCAGCCACTCCTTGGAAGGAAGATGGGGCAATCTACTTCCGTAGTGATACTGCCTGGGAAATCCAAGGAAGGGTCGCTATGAGTCGGGTCTGACTCGACAGCACATAACGATGACAACATATACCTTACAGGAAGGCCCTGGATGGTGCAAAGAGTTTGTGTTTGACTATGAACCTAGAAGTTGGCAGTTTGAACCCACCCAGCAGCACTTTGAAAGGCCTGGCCACCTGCGTCCATGAAGATTAGTCAAGAAAGCCCTTTAGAGCAATTCTGCTTTGTAACACATGGGGTCACCATGAGTTGGAATCACCTCAACAACAACGGGTTTTGTTTTTGTTTTGTATACTTTACACACTTGTCTCATTTTCTATATTCAGCCAATATTTACTGAGTGCTTCCCAGACACTCTGCCAGGCCCTGAGTATACAACGGTAGGCAAAGACAGACAAGGCTCCTATCCTTATGTTGCCTACAATCCATGAGGGAGGCAGAAGCTAATCTAACAATCATTCAAATAAATGTACAACCACTCTGAGAGTGTCATGAGTAAGTATAACAAAGGGCCTGATCTGATGGGAGGGGCAAGGGAAGAAGGCCTCTCTGAGGAAATCACATTTGAGTAGCCATGGGAGGAGACGACTTGGAGAGGGGCTGAGGGAAGTGCTGGGGAAGCAGGAGAAACAGTGTGTGCAAAGGCCCTGTGGCATGGCAGTCAGTCTGGGCTGAGGAACTGCAGAAGGCTGGCATGGCTGAAGGACAGAAGCAAAGAAAAACAGCAGATGAGGTTAGGAGATTTGGAGGACAGTGGCCAGGACTTGGAAAGACTTGTGAACTGTGGGAAGGAGCTTTGGTTCTTCATGAGAGCAGAAGGAAGCTGTGGAAGGGCTTTAGTAGAGGAGCGACTGGGTTAATTTACATTCTGGAACAATCCTTCAAGCTGCCTGGTGGAGAAAGGTTTGGAAAGGGTCAGGAGAGGAAGGAGTGGTTAGGAAGCCATAGCAGGACCCAGAGAAGGTAGTGAAGGCTTGAACCAGTGTGGTGGAAGTGGAGATAGAAGAAAAAGGATTGGAGGTCAATTGAAGAGGAAAAATCATCAGGATTAGGGGTAAGAGAGAGGGAAGTATCAAGGGTGATTTTTCAGGGTGGGGCTTGTAGGACTGCATGGTGGAGCCATTTACTAAGAAGAGGGATGGGCATTGGCCCAGGTAGGGGGTTCATGAAGTCAGTTTTGGACATGGTGGTTAGAGGTGCCTTGGAGACATGCACATGGAGATGACAAGGCTTCAGAAAGCAGAGGAGAGGTTGGTGGAAGAGAAGAATCAGGGTCATCAATATGGAGATGGTATGGGCATGGACAAGATTGTCCAGGGAGACAGAAGAGAAGAGGGCTCGGGCTCAGGCTTGAAGAACAAGGGTGAACCTGCGAAAGACACAAAGAATGGCCAGGTGGTAAAGGAACAACCAGGACAGGGTGGTGTCCCAGAGGTAAAGGGAGAGAGGATTTGTCCACATGGTCAAAGACTCCTGAGAAGCCAACTAAGGTAGGACCGAAAAAGGTCCACTGGCTTTAGCAACCTGGCAGCCGTCGATGGGTTTGGTGAACATTGTTTCAGTGAGGTCAGAGTGAGAACAGATTGGAGTAGACTCGGAAGTGAGGGGAAGAAAAGAGGAAATAGAAGGATGGGGTGGGCACTTGATGTGAGGGTGCAAGATAGAAAGATACTTTCAAGATGATAAAGCTAATTACAATAAATGGGAAGGATTTGGTTAAGAGAATAGGACTAACTCTAATAGGGAGAGATCACTGATACTGTGCAGTTCCTGAGAGCATGGTGGGGGTAGGGGTGAAGGGGTCAGCAGGCTGGAGGGCCTGGTGGACGTACCCGAGGAGCCTACTTCGGCTGCAAGGAGGGAGGTTACGATCAGAGAACAGGAAGTCTACTTAATGTGGAGAAATTTGGAGGTGATGACCGCGCACCAAAGTGTGGCCTGTGGACGAGGATAGCTGAGGTCAAGGGAAGGAGAGATCATCCTCTTGGATAATAGTTATGTGGGATTGAGGCAAGACCTGCGTGAGAAGAGGACTGATCCAGGACTGAAGCATCCCAAGAATGAGATGGAGTGGCAGCCCAGAAGTGGGGAGAAGGCAGGGGAGCCCAGAGCCACCAGCCTCTAAGGAGGAGGGATTTTCACAAGAGGAAGATGATCTTGAAGTAGTGTAGGGAGTAAGGCTACCAGCTCTTCTCTGTGGGAGACAAACCAGCACCCCATGGGAAGTCCCTGGAGAAGACAGTGTCCTCTGGACAGCCAGTTTAGAAGACAAGGAGGGCTCAGGTCAGGTCAGGGGCTGAGAAGGATGGAGCCTCAGATTTGGGTGTGGCAGAAGACAGAAGAGGGCTGGACTCTGGGTGCTGCTTGGCAAAACCAGGAATGTGGGGCATGGCAGGTTCATTCTTCCTGGTCAGTCTCTGAAGAGGGTGGGCCCAGGGCTGAAAAAACACTGGCCTGGGAGGACCCGCATAGCAACCTTATAAGGAACTCTTGTTCCCATTAACAAGTAAGGAAATGGAGGCACAGACACAGAGGGGTTAAGTAATTTACTCAAAGTCAGAGAACATAACCACTTATTACGAAGCAGTTATTAAGTTCAAAATGTGGGGCAGAGTTTTGAACCCTGTTGGTCTGACTGCTAAGGAGGTATAACAGTCACAGCTGGACACCCTCTCTCAAACACCAAAACAACTCCTTCCCCACCCTGACCTGAAGGAAGAGAGCCACATTGTGTTCCTAAAGGTCTCAGTCCCCCTCACCTCCACTTTGGTGTCTTTGTACTATCCAGGGTCCATTTATCTGCATCATCCTGGAAGCAGGTAGAGGCTGACAGTAGATTTCCTGTGCACCAACCCCCTTGGCATTGAGGACACATCAGTGTCCAGTGGTCCATTGGTCGGGGAGCATCGAGTATGAAAGGCGTGATCATGGTGGCCTGAGCACAAGGAACCAGGCCCCCAGCCCTTGCTTCCCAGACCCTACAGAAGCCCCAGGAGGGGTCCAACTCCCTCAGGTTGGTTGAGAGTGAGTTCCTTGCCAACCCTGGTGAAGGTGGAGGGTGGAGCAGGGAAATAGACCCAGCTTTAAGGTGACTCAGTAAAACAAAGCTGATAGCTCCCCTCATCTTCCCCCTCACCTGCCTGATGCTGCAGCTGTGTCACATGTCCCTGGCTTGTCTGCCCAGCTGCTCTGGGAGCTCCCGGAGGGTGTGGGTTTAGCAATATTTGGATACCTCCCAGGCCAGCCCAGCACTTTGTCCACAGTAGTCAGTCAATATTTGCAGAATTCAATCTGGGGCCCAGCCTGAAGCTTGGGGCTGTGGAGCCAGACTGTCTGACTCTGAATCCCAGAGTCACTTTGCTAGCTTTGTGACTTTGAGCACACCACTTAACCTCTCTGGGCCTTCCTCAGCTATAAAATGGTAGCAGGGCTGGCTGCATGGGTGAGAGGCCTGGACGGCTGCACAAGCCCCATGCTTAGGAGGCCCTGTGCTTGGTTTCACGCTCTGCAGATGCCATCTTGAAATTCGTACTCGTTTTTGAATGTGTTTTCACTTTGCATTGGACCGCGAAAATTATGTAGCTATGTAGCCAGTCCTAAGCAGGAATAACAGCATCTACCCCAGACAGCTGCTGCAAGGAGTAAATGAAATAATCTGCCCAAAGTGCTTAGCACATAACCAATGCGCAGTAAATGTTGGCGATATGTTCCAGAGCCCGTGTGTGATAAATGACTAAAATGACCAAATGACTAAGAGCCTGGGGAACAGCTGGAAGAGAAGATGCCAGGCTGAGTTGAGGGGGCGGCATTGTTTGAGAATGGCTGTAAGGGAAGCAGGAGCATTTCTGTGCCCCACATCGCTAAGTACTTGTTTTCCACGGCAGCTGGTGATGGCACGGTGGTCAAACCCTGCCGCCACTACCTCAAAAAAGCCCACGTCGTGAGAGCTGAGCACGTGCGTTCCAGTCTTTATTACAAGGGCGTGATTTCCGCCCCCTGGAAAGTCGCCAGGCTCTAGCTTCAGGAGCTGCAAGGGGTCTGCTTGAGGCCTCCATGAGTATTCAACTAGCACAATCGCGAGTCTTGGCGACAGCACTGGACCGAGTCTTACTCTGTTCACGCTCTCCTGGGCCAGGTTCTGGGTTGCAGCCTCTCCCCACTTCAGGCCTGAGGGGCGCGGCCTCGCAACCGCCCCAGCGAAGGGGCCACGGCCAGCGCAGGCGCAGAGCCGACCTAGGGCGGGGCGGCACTCAAAGGAAGGGGTTGGAGCCTGTCTGCGGGGGCGGGTTCAGCGGCCCCGTGGAGCCCGACTTGGGCAGCAGGGGTTGCGGTAGGTTTGTCAGTGGCGGCGGCGGGAAGGCGCCAGCCTGGGGGAAGACGCTGACCGAGGCGGGGAGGGTCACGCCGGCCGGCACGCTGCTGAGCGGGAGGGGTAAGGAGGCGCTGTAGGTCATGGAGCTCAGAGGAGCCCCGACGGGCCCTCCCACCGCCAGGCCCAGCGCTGGTGACCCGGTGCGCATCTGGTTCAGGGTTGGTCGGCCCTGCTCACCCCCGCCGAACGGGTTGGTGGGGGACGGGGTACTGAGACCTGCGGAACGAGAGTGGGTGGGTGGGCTTGGAGCGAGCTGTCTGTGACAGACATAGTCCTAAATAGGGAGGGTAGGGTGGCAAGATCCAAGGGCTTATAGTTAGGGAAGAATAAGATTCTAAGGCAGGGGCTGGGCTCTGGAAGGAGGGGCGGAGGAGAGCAGGACCCAGCACTGTTGAGGCCCTATCAGGGACCAGGAGAGTCCTACCTGTCAGGAAGGGGTTCCGGGTCTTTGCAGCCTGGGGTGTCTTGACCAATGAATCAAGGTTGACCAGGGAAGAGGCCGAAGGGCCCAGGAAGGATTCAGGAGTCCGGCACGCTCGGGCCTCTTTGCTAGGCTGCGTCAGCACTTCTCCCAGCATATCCAGGTCGAAGGTGTCTGGCTCCTTTGTGCCATTTTGCTTGGAACTGGGAATAGGGTCTCCAAACAGGTCCAGCTCTGAAATAGCAATGGCAGAGGTTATGGATGAAGAGAGGGACTGGCCAAGGGTGTAGAAGGAAGGCCAGCTCTGGGTGGGGTGCCCCACTCCCTGGGATTTCAATGTCCCCCTGCCTCCTGCTTACCCACAGGGCTGCTGGGCTTTCCAGAAGGCAGGGCCTGGGTACCCTCCAGCCTCTCCTTGGTTTCTGTGGATTCTGGAGGTTTGGCAAATGGATCGAAAGTCAAGGTACCGCTTAGAGCTGGTAAATGAAGAAAAAGAGAGATAAGAAGTTCAGGACTGTCTTGCCCCTCTCCAGGCAAGCGGCCCTCTTCTCAACCTAGACAGGGTCTGCTGGTGCCTTTGCACTGAAGAGAGAGGGACCCAGACGCCTCCTAACCCCTCACACACATGCCCTGGCCTTCTACTTACCGGGTGTGTTGGAGGTCTCTCTAGGGCTCCCCCAAAGGTCGGCCCCAGTGCTGGGGAGTTTGTGGTGGGGGGAGTTCAGTGCCCAGGGGTCTGTAGTGGGGGGTCCGGCAGGTAGCACTGGGGTCCAGCCCCAGGGCTCAGAGGAGGAGAGCGTAGGGGGCAAGTCCCATGGCTGGCTTCGGGAGAGGGCATTTCCTGAGGGGACTGGAGACCAGGGGTCTGCAGAAGGCCCCCAGGAGGAGCCACCTGGCTCTATGCTTGGCCTGAGACCTGAAATGGGAATGGCACAGGCATGAGCCTTTGCCCACCCTAACCCCCCTCCAGGGCCCTTCCTAGTTACCCAGCCCAAGTTGGGAGGCTATGGGACCCACTTCACAGATGGATCCTGACTCAGAACCATCCTGCCAGCTGGAGCCCATATTCCAAGGAGCCTGGGTGCCTAGTCATGGGCAATTCAGGCCACCTTTCTAGTAAGGAAAGCCAGGAGAGAGAGGGCAGCAAGAGAACATTTGCTGATTTTCCGCATGAGCTGGGCTCTTCAAGCAGACTCTTACAGCCATCACTACTACCCCATATCACAAAGGAAACTGAGGCTTGAGGATATGAGGGACTTGCCCAGTGGCCCTCAGATATGGGGAGTGCTGGCAGGTGGCTGGGAAGGAAAGGGCTCTCTGGGGACAGCCTGGGAACTTCTTGCAGCCCTGCATGCCCACCTGGGATGTCCCATGGGTCAGCAGAGCAGTGTGTGGAGGGTGGGGCTGGGGCGGGTGCGAAGATGTCGGCCAAGTCCAGGATGGAGGACTGTGAAGGGGAGAGGCAGCATGACTCAGAAGGGGGCGGGGCCCAGAGGGAGAACAGGCCCTGACCTGTCAGCCTAACTCCAGCTCATTCCTTTATTCATTCCACAAACATCTGTTAATGATCCCTTGCTCTGGTACCGTGCTTTCTACTTTTATAAACTATTTCCTCATCCATTTAGTGCCTGATTTTCACAACAGCCCTGTGAGGTAGGTAGGGCAGGTGTTGTGCCCATTTTACAGATGAGCCAGCTGAAGCCCAAAGAGGGGAAGCAATTTACCTGAAGTCACATAGGAGAAGCAGAGTTGGGATAGACATCAGCTGTCCTCTCAATCCAGCAGAAGGGGACAGTGAGGGAGAAGACAGATTTTACAAGGCTACTTCCCTAGGTCAGTGTCCAAAAGAAGTGATGCAACACTGAGCATTGGTCAGAAAGGGACGGAGATAAGGAGTAGCATGGACAGCTTTGGAGGGTGGCTTTGCTCCCAGTGGCCTGCACTCCTCTCTCCCAGAAAGTGTATATATATGTATGAGCTCAAGATGTTCTCAGCACCACATGCCTGAGCCCACCCTGAATCTTGATCCATAGCATCATATGATCCTGGAACGTCAGCGCTAGGAATGTTCAACATGTCTATCATACGGAGGCAGAAACAGGCCAAAACAATGAGTTGCCCCAGTCATCAAGTAAGTTAGCAGCAGCAACCTCTGAACCTTGGATGAGGATTCTTTGATCTCACTTTGCCTTCAGCCAGTTCCAGCCATGTGGTATGAGACTGGGCACTGCAATACCCTCCCCACCCTTGTTTATCTTTAATGAACACTTAAACAGTGCTTATTCTAGATGAAGCTCTGTTCTACAGTTATTCAAAATATTAGTTCATCTTCCAGGACCTAGTCCTGCACCCGAGCCCCCTCACTACCTGGCTGGTTTTCAGCTTCTCCTCCTTTCTCTCTTCTCCCTGGGGTTCTTGGTCTCGCCGATGGCGGCAGACTGCAGCCCCTGCACCATTGGCCATGGGGGAGTCATCTCCTCTCCAGGACCTCACTTCCTGTGGAAGAGGGGCAAGGAGACAGCATGAGTAGCCCAGGCTGAGCTTGAGAAGACCAGAGCACTAGAGGCCGGAGTCAAGAAGAGAGTGCAGGGTGGGAGGTGGCTGCGAGGTTAGGACCAGGTGCCCAGAGGAGCAGTAAGGACCACCAGGTGAAGCCCACCAGGTGAAGCAGAAGGAGTTGGCTGGGGCCTGGGTAGCACCTCCACCAGCAGCAAGATAGGTGGCCCAGGTGGCTCGGCCACTACCTTCTCATGCTCTTGCTGGCTCAGGCGCAGGGCCAGCTGAAGCTGTAGGTCCTCATCCCTGTGGGAGGCCGGAGGGACCGGCTGCTAGGGAGGAAAAGAGAGGTGAGCCTGGCCTAGTGCTCCCGCCCCTGGGCTAGACGGTCAGCATAGCCCAGCCCTGGCTAAAGGAGATGGAGAGACAGAAACGTCCATGTGGGTGGGGGTGGACTGCCTGCCCCCAGTTAGCAATGTGGGTGTGAGCTTCTGCCCACCTGCATCTGAGATGCAGCTTAAAAGTCAGGATTGAGCCTTTTCTGCTGGCCCTGCTGTGAAGCCTTCCGGGCTTCCTGTCTGGTCTGCCCAGATCCACAAAGGTAATGGCAGAGAAGCTATCAGAAGGACTGTCTCCACCTCTTCGCAAAGAACAGGACCCCTGTGGAGCAGCTGACGGTAGGTCAGCATACCCGAGTCCTAGGAATGTGACTGTCAGCAATGCTCCCCTCTCCCCCACTATGAGGTGGTAGGTCCACATGATACACTGCGTGCCTCCAGCCCAGTACATCACCGCCCTTTCTGGTTCAGGCTTGGAGGCAGTGAGGCAGTCCCCTCTGGGACAAACCCAGAACACAGGCCCTGTGCTGCTCTTGGAAGCAGGAATGGAGCTTTGGGACCCAGAGTTGGGGAGCCTAGGAGTCAAGGCACTTCTTGCCCTGACCTAGCTGTGGTGCCTCCCAAGCTGCCCCAGGATGGGACCTCACCTTCTCGGCCTCCTCACGGCTCATGGCCAGGGCCAGCTGCAACTGCAGCTCCTCTTCTCCTGACGTCTGGGGCCGGGCCTGCTCCAGGTCGGAGGTGTAGCGGGGGGATGAGGAGGAAGCTGCAATACATCAGGGCTCTGTGACCACACTGTTACCCACAGGCTCCTGCTGCCCTCTCAGAGTCTTATCAGCTGCCTGCCAGGGAGCTGAGGCTCAGAGAGGGGAAAGGGGAGGCAGCCAGGGGTCCAGTGGGCCAGGCAATGTGCTTATTTTCTATATGTTTTCTCCTCCCCTCCATGGTAAAGATTCCAGTCCCTCACTTATAGATGTACAGACAGCTCGAAAGTGCACCTGGCCCAGGGTCCTGCCGTAGGACTTGTATCCAGGTCCTTTCCTGCTTTGGGTCAAGGTGGGCAAGAGGATGAAAGGCCTCAATCAAACAAGGTCATGGTCCTCCAGTCTCTCAGCAAACTGTTGAGGGCTTTGTGAAAGGGAGGTCCGTTCCCATGTATTCCTCAGACCAGGGAATCCCCACCACTGGGGAGAGGAGAGGCAAGAACTACTCGGCTACTGCCCCCATTTTCAAGGGCAGTGCCCGAGTGGGAGGAATGGAGGGGAACGTGTTGATGGAGCACACTGTATGTGTGTGTGTGTGAGATAGGGCTGGGGGTGTTCCTGGGGTGTCTCATTTAATTCCCACATAAACCAATGGAAGTAGGTAAGATGATCCCACTTTACAGGTGAGAACACTGAAGTTCAGAGAGTTGGCACAGGTCACACAGGTGGTGTAGTGGTTAAGGCAATTGGCTGCTAACTGAAAGTTCGGTGGTTTGAACTGACCAACCACTCTGTGGAAAAAAGATAAGGTGGTCTGCTTGGGTAAAGATGTACAGCCTTGGAAACCCAGTGGGGGTTGCTATGAGTCAGAATTGACTTAATGGCAGTGAGTTTGGTTTATTTGGTTTTGACTTGACTCCAAAGCCGATACTTCTACCACTCTGCCACCCTAACGGAGAGCTAACTTCTTATTTCAATGAGCTTGTTGAGCACCTGTGTGCTATGTGTAGGGCATCGCACCTTGCATGTTACACTCCTCACCTCACCATATCCTGACAGCTTTCTGAGGTAGTACTGTTATCCTTGGTTCAGGGTTGCAGGAGTAGGATTGGAACTCAGCTGCCCCTCTTCCCTGGTCCCCCTATCCCCAACCACACCCTGGTGGCTCACTCACAATTGTAGGAAGATGGGGACCCACGGGAACGGCCATAGTCGTCGCCATGGCGTCGGCTGAAGCCCAGCTGCCCACTGCCGATGCCTATGCCCTCCAGAGCCATGCGCTCCTTGGTCTTGAGGGCATGGGTGCGCTCCTGCCGCAGGCGCTCCTCGTCTTTGAGCAGCGCCATCACCTGCTTGACCTTCTCACGCACGTTGACGCCCTGGTCCTTGCCATCACGGTCGATGTACTGGAAGTCCTTGAGCGTCTGGATGGTGTAGAGGTTCTCACGGCACTGGTGGGCCACCCGCTCAGAGCCCGTTTTGAGCAGGTAGTCCAGCAGCGTCAGCGCCTTGTACACGTGCCGCCAGTTCTTGCCACTGTCATTGAGCCGCCGCCACAGCATACCCATGACTTCGGCGAAAGCCACCGTGTTGAAGGTCAGGTCGGCGATTTCTGACATGAGTGAGCTGGGTGGGCCCCATGGGTCATTGCTGGTGGCCTCGCGCACCTTGATCTCCGCCTCCGAGTAGTTGTGCACGATATTCTTCACCTGGCGCCGCAGTGCTGAGGTTGTCATGGCTGGGGACTTGGAGATGGGCGGCCCCCGCCCCAGCCTGAGGTGGAGGGCCGAGGGCCACCGTCATGAAGTCACAGTCTTGAAGGAGAGGCCACCGTGCTCTCAGCAGGGCGGCAGCGTCCTTGGGTTCCACATGGGTCTGAGGAAGAGAAGGTCTGGGATTCAGGTGCAATGCCCTGCCTCACTGGTCACTCAGCCCCTGGCTTCATCAGGCCTGGCAGAGTGTCCCTGCTGCTGGGGACAGCCGTCAGCAGGCACTTAGGATGCCATTAATACTATCCGCATTCAGAGATAGGGAAAGTGAGGCTCAGGGAAGAATTAATGACTGTCCACAATCACACAGTTGGTAAGTGGGGGACCAGGATTAGCCCCGGCAGCCCCACCCCAGAGTCTGTGCCCTTATCAAGGATACTAAGGTGACCTCAGGGATGGCCACTCGCCTTGCTTCTGCTTGGCCGTTCCCTTTCTGCCAGGATCTAGCTTAAGAACTACCCTTTTCTGTTTCTCAGTATCACTTTCCTGTCTTCCAGGTGTGAATTTTTGTAGTTTAATTTATTCACCACCTATTACCTGGGGCCTTCTCTGAGGTAGGCACAGAACACAAGCCCTGGCCCACCCACATCCAGGGTAACAGACACCCACAGTGCAGGGTGGGAGTGTAGAGATGCACAGAATACCCAGCGAGGAAATCAGGGGAGACTCCCCAGAGGAGGTAATGGCTGAAGGGAAGGGTGAGGAGGAGTGAACCCACAGGGCAAGGAAGGGAAACTCAGGGAGGACACTGGGAGCTGGGCCATAAGGCAGGAGACAAAGGAGCATTTCGGGAAAGCTGACTCTCAAAGACATCTTCTAGCCAGCCCAACATACAAACGAGAACACTGAGGCCAGAGAGAGACGTGACCTGCCCAGTCTCCTGGTGTGTAGGTGGCAGAGCTGGGACTAACACTTAGGTCTCCAGAAAGACTGATTCAGTAGTTATTGTCAGTGTCACCCAGTTTTGTAATGAAGTTATCTGATTGTTGTACTGTCTCAGTCCCACCTTCTCAGCCAGGATGTAAGCTCTCTGAGGGCAGAGCCCATCTGGGCACACGGCAGACTTAGACTGCTGATGCCCAGCTGAGAGGAGGGTTAGGGCCAACCCGCCACCCTCCCCACAGCTTCAGGACCACCCCATCTGAAAAAGTATACCTAGGCCCAAGGCAGGAGCTCTGGTAGCATAGTGCCTAAGGCACTTGACTGCTAACCAGAAGGCCGGCAATTCAAACCCACCAGCCACTCCTTGGAAGGAAGGTTGGGCGCAACCCAAGGGGTCGCTATGCATTGGGGCTGACTCGACAGCACATAACAACAACAACAACAGGCCCAAGGCAGAGAAAATGTTCTCCCAAAGTCCCACCAGAAACAAAATTGGAATCTCCCTGCCATTGTCATCCCTCTAGCACTGATATGGGTGCCTGTGTATATGTGCATGCACACACAAACACATTCATACACCAATTCTCCCACATACAGTCTCAACACACTCATATACACAAATACATTCACACACACACTCACATACCACATATACTCTCACTCATACACATGCACTCACACTCATACACACAATGGGCTGAACGTGCACCTCGCCTATGATCACCTTAGACACTCAGCGAAATGTCACCTCTCGGCTCTGCCCTCCATCCTCCACCTCGCTGTGCCCAGCTGTCCCTAGGCTGCCAGAAGGCAGGAATCAGGTAGAGGGAGGCTGCCTGCCCCCACCTCTCTACACCTCCACCCAGCCCCTCTCTCTCTCTTCCCCACCTGCCAACCTGGTGGCTTAAAGGAACCAGCACTGGGCTCAATTCAAAGTGGCCCCACAGGCCTTGGCAGGTTTTACTGGGGCCCAGATGCTGGACAGAGCACCTGCCAAGAGACTGAGACTCCAAGGAAGATGAATTTTATATAGAAAAAGCCTGGCTGAAGCTGTGCCTACCTTCTGTCTGCCGTCTGTCCTTCTGTCCAGCTGGTGGCAGGCCTTCTGTGGGGATGCCACGGTCACCACTCGTTTAGCTCCTGCCCTCCTCCTCACCAGTGACTCAGACCTGTCTTTACCTCCCCACCTGGCAGGCTGGCGGGTGGCAGAATCAAGATGGGAAATAATGTGGTGCACCCAACCTGCCCCAGTGCACACCTCTCCCAGGGCTGGCCACTGAGACCAGCAGAACCAGTCAGGCGTCATGACGCCACCAAAGGACCTACCTGGTGGCCCTCCTGCCTGGCCTGGGTTGGGGCACGGGCTTTAGTGGGAGAGGGCCTCAGGGTGGGCCCCCACTTGGCCTTCTCTCCCACAAGGTGGGCATGGACAACCCTTCTTGGCCCACCTCTGCCAGAGCTGGGGAAGGGGGAGGTGAGAAACACCTGGGAGAGTGCCTCCCACATCCTCCCCCTGAAGTTCAAGGGGATAAGGAAGGGAGGAAGAGGGGGCAGGGTGAGAGCAGGGAGCACTGAGGGGAGGAGGGAGGGAAGGAAGGAACGCAGGAGGGAGCGGCTGGGAGCTCTGCCAGCGGTGTTACAGCAAAGGGTTTTATTGAACACAATATGCCCAGAAATAAAAGGGGGTGAAACAGAAACCCAGCAGCTGATAAGGCAGCAGAGCGGCAGCCCCGGGCAGGCGGGTATGGAATTACCGCAGTGACCTTGAGCCAGACCCTGTCAGGTGGAGGGAAGGACGCTGAGAAGGCGAGCCAGAGAGGCTAGTTCAGAGGAGAGGGGAGAGGGCCGAGGAGGGAGGGGCAGTCTAGGAAGGATCCAGGCAGGACCGCAGGGAGTGGGATTGGGTCAGAGGCAGAGGTGGGTCCTGGGAGCACAGAGTAGCAGCTCCCCTTAATATAGCACCCCATGGAGAACTTTGGGGGGCTGCCCATCTGAGAGCCCACAGGGCTGGGGGACTTGGGCTGATTCTCTGAAAGAAAGGACTAAGGAAGCCGATGGCATCGCCAAAGTGGGGGTTGGAGAGGATGGAAAGAACTCAAATCCATCCATCTAAGGACAGGAGTTTGTCCAAAGTCTGTGTGTGCCCCCACCAGCCCACACCCTTGCCCCTCCTCTGCTAAGGAGGGGTCCAGCCCCTGCACCCCAATCAGGACCAGTGTGAGCAAAGGAGGGAGTAGGGGTGCTCAGACTCGCTAGTTTCTTGCTGCTGGAGGACAGGGAAGTGAGTGTTTTGTCAGCACTGGGGTAGAGTGTGCCCTGGGGGCACTGGAGTGGGCTGAAGGCTGCCCTGAGGCCGGAGGTGCATCAGGGACTAGGGATGAGGGGTCAGCAAAGATGTGCAGCCATCTGTGTTCCCCACTGGGTGGGAAGAGTGGTGAAGACGCCAGTCCCAGGATGGGGAGCACCCCTGCATCTCCTTTGGTGGGGGGGCTGCAGGGAGGGTGGGACAGTGGACCTGCCTCCAGGTGCTTCTCTGACCCTGCCCCGTTTCCCTCACAGCTGGGAGGGAGACTAGGTCCTCAGCCCACTCTTTGCCCCAACCTTCCATGCAGGGTCCCACCACTACCCGGGAGGGTGCGGGGCTGAGCTTACCTCTGGTGCAGGTTCCCCCGGCCCCAGCCCCAGCCCCAGGGCCCTGAGCAGCCTCTGCAGTGACCCTCCGACCTGCGTGGCAGGAGGACGGCACAGCCTCGGAAGCGGTGTCTCCAGAGCCATCCACCACAGCCCCTCGTCCCGGAGACCCACCCTCTCCCTGGAGGCACAGACCCCACAGAAGGGCAGCGGCTCTGCCTCCTGCCAGTTTGCCTCCCAGACTTGCTGCCGGCCACAGGGAGGAAAGTTGCTCGGCTGGCCAGGCAGGTCTGCCTCAGCAGTAAGAGGACACAGGAGGGAGTGCAGGCATGTTAACCCCTTCCTGCTGGCTGAGCAGGCAGTGCCTTCGGAGGTGGGATGCCTGCCTACTGGCTATCCCCAGGAGGGCAGATCAGGAGCCAGTGCTGGCCACCTGCTTCCACCCCGTGGTAGGTTAACTCTTCCCCTGCCTCCCCAAGACGAACAGGGCCAGGTTTTTGGTTGTTTTTTTTGGGTGGAGGGAGGCTCAACACCCAGCCTCCCAGCCCTTCCTCCTCTGGGCTAGTTGTTGTTGTTATGCACTGTGGTGGAGTCGGACAGTCCAGCTGGATGGACTTATAGCGACCCCTCCTTGGGTTTCCCAGGCAGTATCACTATGGAAGTAGATTGCCCCATATTCCTTCCAAGGAGTGGCTGGTGGGTTTGAATTGCCGGCCTTCTGGTTAGCAGTCAAGTGCCTTAGGCACTATGCTACCAGAGGCAGAACCATTCCTTGGCGCTAGCTCTTTGGTGGAGTGGCCACCTCCTTGTGGACACAGTCCCCTCTCATGGCCCCAGATTCTGCCTCTCAACACGGGAACAGAGCGTCTTGCTCTCTCCAAATACCCTTCTCCCGTGTCTCAGCTGGAGGCTGCTTGACATCCTTGAGGTCCTGATTAGAAGTACAAAATACAAACCCTAGGGCTTCCAGCCTGGGGGCCACTCCCCCAGCCCTCTAGCCCATGCCTTCTTTGCACCTCCAGTCCTGTTTCCAAATTCTGGGAGTCTAGCCCAGAATGCTTATGACCAAAAAGCAACATGGTACCACATAGGAGACAATACAGCATCTTTCTTTCCAAAAGCCATCTCTCCCTGCTTCAGCTCCTCTGAGCAGGGAAGGAAATGAAGTCTAGTGTCTGTATTTAAAGTGAAAGAATGGTTCCAGAAGGCAATGGATTGACATGTGCTAAGACAGACCCAGTGCCCCATGGGAAGGTTAACCTCTTGCTGAGGACAATGGCCTCCAGGGTTTAGGAGGTATGGTGGGCATGATCCTCAAGGACTGGGAAGGGGTCCTTGGACCCAGCTAAAGTGGATGGATCTCAGAGAGCCAGGCCACAGGGGGTCTAGTCCTCCTAGTCTCTTTTTGTCATACTTGGTGATGAAGCTTCAGGAAGGTGTGGCTACAGGAAGTATGATCCTAAAATTGTGGACCCTGGAAGGCCAGAGTGGAGGCTAGGAAGGGGTTCTCACCCCTTGTCTTGTCACCTAATTCCTTGTCCTGTCACCAACTTGCTCTTCTGCCCGTCTTCCCACAAGTCACCTGCTTGGTGGTATCTCCTCCAATTCCCTGCTCCAGCAGGGAAGACAGGATGGGATGAGGGAGGACTGGGTCATGAAAAGATCTCATCAAAATCCAATAGCCAAGACACAAAGGCACAGTAGAAGTGGCAGCCACTAAAGGTTCTTTATTGATTTGTCTGTTAACCGGCTCCCAGAAGGCTACTCAGGTGTGCAAGTCAGTTTCAAAGACAGATGAAGCGCTATTCGCCATTCTTCATGGGGCTGAGCTCATCAGCCAGGATCATCATGTCAGTCACCAGGACGTCCAGCAGCCCATAGACCTGAAAGAATAGGATGCACATCACAGGCAAAGGTTCTCTCTGTAGACAACATGTACGTAAGATATCACCAACCATGCTATGAGGTGTATGTAGCTGTCCCCATGAGAGAACAGCTGGAATGAGGCAAAAACCAAAGGTGTTTCTATAGAACACTTGTTTTTGCAGGGTGGTCCTCCACTGTGCTCCTTTGACCTCTGGGGGCATTAGAGCCTACAGATAGGAGACCAGGAAGCAGTGCCCACATAGCCTTTCTGGTGAGCTTCAGCTTAGCAACAACTCTAATTTTCCCAGAGACTAACTTTCTTCCTGTTAAGATCCAGGATCTACACATTGAAAGTTCTCCAAGTCTGTGTGCTCCAAAGGGGCTGGCCCACACAGGCCTGCGCAAGTTGATTCTTAATTGCAGAGAGTAGAGGGAGTCTACCCTATGGGTCTTCAGAGCCCTTTAATTACTTTCTAGACCCCATAGGCCTTGAGAAATCTCAGTGATGTCACCAGCAGCAAAAGAAGCTTCTGATCCAATGAGATCAGAGCATCACTCCAATCACAGCTACCCAACCAGACACATCAGAGGTAGACAAAGCACCACCTCCAGACACTTGACACCCCAAACAGAGTTTTGAGGACCTCCCTTCCAAAAAACAAACAAACAACAAACACCTGGGCAGATCTCTAAGGACCTGCTGCTTAAGAATAGTTCATGTCCTTACAAAGTCTCTCTCCAGTGTTTGCAAACCTTTACTATTGACGGAAATCCACCCCAAGGAACACATCTACCAAGATGTGCCTAACACCAAGAGGAAGAGGAAACAACAGAAAGGCTTCTACTCTGTGTGCCCCGAGTCGCCTTTCCAAACAGCAGCCATTTTCTTTTTAAGCCTATGTCAGACCACGTCACTCCTTTAGTCAAAAGTCAGTGTGGCTTCTCATCTCAGAGAAAAACCCCAAGTCCTAGCAATGGCCTATAATGACCAACATGGCTTGCCCCCAGGACTTCTCTGCTTGTCTCCTCTTCCTTTATTCCCACCTCTCCAGCCATATTGGCCCACTCCTTCCTCCACCTAGAGCACTATTCCTGGAATATTCACAAGGCCACTCCTTCCTTCCCTTTAAGTCTTTGCTCAATGTCACCTTCTCAGTGAGAGCCACCCTGTCCCTGCCATACTCAGGCTTACTGCATTCCCCTGACACTACGTTCTCTTGTCCACAGTGCTTATCACTTTGCATACCAAATAAGTTACTCATTGATGAGGTTTGTCTCCCACACTAGGATGCCCTTCACAAGGGCAGCTCTGCTTCCATCATTGATGTAGTAGATGCTTTCATTTGTGGAGTAAACACAGTGAAATGAGTGAGGCAAAGATACCAGCAGGGCAGGTGTAACTGCCAGGCTCTTCTCCTCACCTCAGTGTGCAGCCTGTGAATATATTTCTCCATGACCAGAGGGTCTATTGGTTCTTGGGAAGGGGTGGTACTGTCAGGGGCAGCATCGTCCAAGGAAAACCTTTCCCGACTTGCAGATTTCATTAATTTCTTGTCATCCTTTGCTTTATGCTTCTTGCTGTTTACACGATCCTGCTTGGAGAGACAGAGACACGGGCAGCCTATAGTGGCAGCCGAGGTCCAGGGCATTCTCATCAGCAGGATGAGAATGGAAGGTCCTGGGAGAGCCAGGACCTGTTGTGACTGCCCACTGTCCATAAACCCCTCCAAGGCCCTCTCATGGTGGCTCAACCCTTCCCAGGCCTGGACCATCTCCCAGCATGCCTCTTTCACTGGCAACTTGGCTCCTTTTTTGTCTTCTTTGTCTTTGATTCCTAGTTGCTTCTTTTCCTGGGATGCCCCTCTTCGGTCCTCCTTTCCCACTCTTCCAGCAGTCCCCTTTGCTTCCGTGATGGGAGGCGATTTCCTATCTACAGGAGTTGATGGAAGACAACATGGCACTCTGTGGCCCAGATAAGTCCACAAGCATACCATGAGGGGGGCAGAGGTTAAGAGTCCTGAGCCCTGCCAGCTCCTCTTAGCAGCTCTGAAAGAATTCCTATGGACTGGGAGCAGAGCTCGCTCTGAAGGGAGCACCTTTCCTTGAGCTCCTTGTTCAAGTGGCATGACCTTGTAGAGCAGGGCTGTGGGGCAGGGGAAGAGGCCTAGTCAGGCAGCCAGACCTGGATTCTAGTCCCAGCCCTACCACTCTCTCATGTATGACATGGCCAAGTCATTTACTCTTTCTGGGATTCAACCTGTAGGATGAGGGAAATGAACTAAGGTGATCTTGAAGGTAGTTCCTGGCTCCCGAACCTGGCAGCAGATAGGAGAAGGGTAGCAGGGGCCTCCTCTATCAGCTTAACTGAGTGGAGGTTCCACCACAGGGGCACAAACGACTGAGGCGACCAGGTAGAGGGAGAGAATACCAGTCAGAGGTGTGAGGAAGACCACAAAAAGCGTGGCTGTGCCGTGTCTGACCTTGCTCATCTGGCACATCCAGATAAATGGTCTCCTTCTCAGGTAGGCCCAGCAGAGCCCTCAGCCACAGGGAATAGCTCACCAGACTGTCGATCACATCCCGCCACAGCTGTAAACTAGAGGGCAAGACATATTTGAGAAGAGCTATTTGGTCTTGAACCTACAGCAGCTCAGATCCTGACCTTCAGAGGTGCTGATGCTAGGGGCTCCCACGGAAGCATCATGACCAGCTGAGTTCTCAGCCACATCCTTGCAAATGCTCAGACCAAAGGCTGGCCTCTCATGGGCTGCAGCCAAGGAAAAGTGGCCCAAGACTAGGGTTAAGAGGTCCCAATCAATGGAGAGCCTCAACTCTGATTTCCATCCAGCCCCACTGGAGGGCTGAGCCATGCGTGGGATTTCCAGCACAAGGTTTCCAGGGCTGTGCTCAGAGGGCCTCGCAAAAGGCCTTCCAGCCTATCTAAGCAGGTTCCACAGAGGCAATGGAAAGGCTGACAACAGAGAAGTGCAGTGTTTAATGGAATCCACCCCTTTTCTCACTCCCCTCTGCTTCCTCCTCTTTCATTCCTCTGCTCACTGAGAAGGAACAGGCAAAGAAGAGAAAGAGAAAAAAAAGCCAAGGTGTTTACTCTGCTGTGACTGCTCCCCAGTGAGCAGCAGGCGGCAGTGAGAGCTTCTCCAGCAGGTTCCAGATCATGGATGTTTGTAGCACCTTTGAGCAACCTGAGCTCAAAGGGAGCCCTGCTCTGGGATTGGCTGCCTGGGCTTCTGGCTACATGCCAGAAAGGGGAGGTGACAGGAGCACACTGTCCTGGTGGGGGGACCTACCAGGTCTGGTATAGTAAGTCAGACTGCAATGGCCTCTGCTCCTGGCACAGTTCCAGGGCTGCTTTGTTGAGTCTCATTAGGGCATCTTCTCGCTGGTTCTCCTCAGGGAGTGACAGCACTGCCTGGCAGGGTCATCAGCCCCATGAGCAACTGCTCTGCTCCAGGACACCAAGGGTCCCCTGTGTCCCCTAGTAACGTGCATGGTGATATAGGGCATGGGGCAGAACATGAATGAGGAGGGGCTGCAGCCATGGTGAGTCTGTCTGGGGTGCCCTCTGTGGGAGCCTGAGAAATAATGTTTCCATGAACCCCTATCCACAGTTTACCAGGGTCAGAGAGGGTGCCCTCCTGAACCAAGGGACTGCTCTCTCTAGGCCATCAGAAGATTTCGTTTCTTTGCCCACAGGGCTGAGAGGGACCACTGGGGCCCTCCCCAACCTGTTCAGGGCAGGAGCAATCCCCACCAACCCCTGCTGGGGTCGGGAAAGCACCTTTTTGAAGTCTTCCAAGCAGAGGTTCCACTGGGGCTGGGGAAGGCTCTCCGGCTCCAAGGGGCTCTTGATGTTCTCCAGGTCAGGGCTCTCCTCCACCAGGATCTCCTCCATAAGGCTCTTCCAATGATAAGACCTGGCCAGCCCTCTGAACTTCTGGGACGAGAAGGAATCTTGAGGGTCCCTGTGGGCCTCATTCTCAGGCCGGGAGACTTGGGCTTCCAGGACTGGGCCCTTCAAGTGTGTCAAGAGATCAGAGTTCATGAAGGCTTTCTCCAAATAGGGTGACTGGGCTGGGGTGGCCCGGCCCCTGGTGCTTAGCTGCTCCTCCTCGCCTGGCCTGGCCTCCTCGGCCTTCGGGGACACGGTCACATACTGGTGCCACAGTCCGTGCAGGTTTTGTACCACTTGGTGCTGGTAGTGCAGCTGCGGCAGAGGCAAGGAAAGACATGTGAGGGGAGGCCGGGGCGTGGGGCACGCAGAGTTCTGGTTCTCTCCCCCAAGAACACTGAGGGAGAGATCCTGGATAGAGTGGGAGAACAATGTGGAACTAAACTCAAATCATAAAAAGGACCAGGTTTGCTGGTCAGATAGAGCCTGGTGAGACCCCTGAGACTATGGACCCTAGTTACCCTTCAGGTCTGGAACTGAACACACTCTCGGGGCTTCCAACCAAACAATAATAGATAGGCGTATGGGGTGAACATTTACATCTGGGTGATACACTCCTTAGAATGATCAATCATGGGAGAACAGGATAGTATTTGCACAGGGAGATAGCTTAGGGGGCAAGAATGCATAGGAAAGAAGGACACAGGGAAGAGGTAACAGGGAAGAAGTGGGAAGAGAGCTGTTACATTGTGGGGAATTGTAGTCAATGTCATGAAACACAATGTGTAAGAACTGCTGCATGGAAAATGAATTTGCTCTGTAAACTTTGACCTAAATCACAATAAAAATTAAAAAAAAAAAGAACACTAGGGGAGGAGCCAGGGAAGAAGCCAGCAGGAGCAGCTGTGGCCAGAGGCTCCCCACTTCCCCTTTATCTGAGCATCTCCAATTTAAAGCATTTGAATTTTTTTACATTAGGGCTTTCAAAAAAGATTGGGTTTGAATAAAGGGATTTTGAAGCTTTGTCCTGAGCAGCCACTTACTAGCTGAGTTATCTTGGGAAATTACTTAATCTCTGTGTCTCAGTTTCCTCAAAGTAAAGTGAGGATATAAACAGTACCCATCTCACAGGCCTGCTGTGAGGAGAAAGTAAGTTACTGGTGTAAGAGGCTCAGAACAGCCCTGGCACATAGGAGGGTTTGCTATTCCCATGACCCAGGCACGTGCCTGGGGTGGAGGCCGACACTGTACCCGAGGATTCTGATAGTGGAACAAGTCCTCCTCAGTGAGATAGGCATCCACAGGGGATGGCACACGCTCCGGGGTCACGATGCCCCTCAGCAGCTCTTGCAGCACACTATTCACAACGGTAACAGCTTCATGGGCAGTCAGCTTACTCTGAAAAAGAGAAAGTGGCACAAGATGGCAGCCCAGGCTTTCAAAACCCATCTTATATCCTTGAGGGAACCTGGGTCCCTTGGCCTTTGTGACTCCTTGGCTTTGAGTTTCTGCCATCTCCCTCCCTCTCTCTCTCTCTCAAACACACACATGCTTATACCCAGACTCAAAAACCTTTGTGTCTCTTCAAATATCCTTATTTCCTAAAAGACGAGGAAAAGAATGCAGAGAAAGAGCTCATCACAGAGAAGAGCTGCTCTTACATCTGACCAGGAGGTTACATGGCATCTCCCCAGACTGGGAGGAAGGGGAGGGGGCAGGGGAAGCACAGTTTGGACACTACTGAGAGTGGTAGTAACATTCCATCTGGCTTGGCCACACGGTCAGTGTTACAGAAATACAGAGGGGCAGCACGTGTGAGAGTCTGGTCCTAAAGTCAGTGAGGAGAGTGGAAATGACATGTTGTCAAGATTACCTCTGATCACTAGGCAGGGGAGAGTGTGCCCATGACCATGTACAGGGTTGGCAGACAATGTTTCTACATGCATATTTATATATGCTATAAGAATGTCCAGGTGTACAGAATTGCTGACAAGGGACAAGGTTGTGGTAGCTTCTTGGCCACGGCCAGCTACCCTGAGGGAATGAGTAGTTTGACCTGTGGAAGGTTGGGCAATCTACTTCCATAGTGATACTGCCTCGGCAACCCAAGGAGGGGTCGCTATGAGTCGGGTCCGACTTGACGGCACATAACAACAACAACAACGGTCATCTAGATGCAATAATGGTCTCTTCTCACCCAGAACAAAGAAGAATGAAGAAAACCAAAGAGCATGGAAACAATTAGTCCAAGGGACTAGTACACCATGTGATCCTCAGCTTATATAACCGTAAGACCAGAAGAACTAGATGGTGCCTGGCTATCACTGCCAATCACTCGGAGGGGATCTATGTAGGAGATCCTGGATAGAGTGGAGAAGAATGTGGAACAAAACTCAAAATCATTTAAAAAAAAAAAAAAAAAGGACCAGGTTTGCTCATCTGATAGAGCCTGGTGGAACCCCTGGGACTACGGCCCCTAGCTACCCTTCAGGTCTGGAATTGAACCCACTTCTATGGCTTCCAGCCAAACAAAAGGCAGGCATATGAGCTGAACATTTACATTAGGTAGATACATTCCTTGGAGAGATCAATCATGGGAGAATTGAAGGGCTGTGTATGCACAGGGAGACAGCTCAGGGGGCAGGAGTGCATGGGAAGGAAGGACACAGGGAAGAGGTAACTATGGGGAGGAAGTGGGAAGAGAGCTGTTGCACTGTGGGAAATTGCAGTCAATGTCATAGACAAAGTGTATGTGAACTGCTGTATGGAAAATGAATTTGCTCTGTAAACTTTCCCCCAAATCACATTAAGAATTTAAATTAAAAAAATTACCTCTGGTCACTGCTGCTGGGCACTAGCTGAAGTAGCTGGCATGTGGGGCGGGTGTCCACAATGAATGATAAAACAGAACTTTCCACAGAACCACATGGAGCACAAGATGGGCCCGCTGTGCAGCTGATTGGGGGAACAACAGATTCCCAGGCCTCACCTCACACTCCAGGGGGTCAACTTACCAAGTAGGATGGTGGTAGATACATCCCACTGTTTAAAGTGTTCTCCCTGGTTTGGTTTACCTTGTAGGTCTTGCCAGTTAAATGCGACTCCAGTGTAAAGTACCAGTCAGCAGTGAACAAAATACAGTGTTGTATTTAGAATGAAGGGCCCTTCATTCTATTTAGATTCAAATAAGTGCTTCCACAGGGCTGTGTCTTAAGGCTCAGTCTCATTTCCTTTCAACTCGGGGAACCTCACACATGGTGCGGCTGAGAGTTGCCCCTTATCTTGCCTGCCCACCCATCTTTCACATCACAAAGCCCTGGGAAGTGTTTGTTGGGCAAGAATAGTTGCCTGTTTGTGAAAAGCAGCAGTTCACTCCCTGGTCTGGGAGAAATAAGATCCCTGCCACACTGCCGGGTGGCACACCTGGGTAACCTATTTAGTGTCATAGGGAAAGATCCTGGGTCCTTACCTCCAGTAACTGCCTCTCATCCTTAAAAATGTCCTGGGTCAGGGAGACTGCATGGAGATTGACCTGCAGGAGGGCACCTCCTAAGAGGGTGGGATGAGTTCCAAACTCCCAAGATTCCCTGAAGATCCCAGGATACAGAGACTTGAAGAAGAAGGTGAATTTTTTCGTTTCTCCAGGCAGAATCACTCCTGGAACAGGGCAGAGACCAAGGTTTCCAATGAATATAAAGTAGCTTAGCCGCAAGCCTGCATCTAAAAAGTTAACTGACCCCCAGGCCAAAGCATAGACACTTAACTGAGCCCCAGGCAGGGCAACTAGGACTGACAGGCTTCCTGGGATGTTGGCCTTTGAGTACTGACATTGGTTAAGTCCCAGGCAAACAGAGACAGCTGGTCATTCTCACCCCAGGCCTGTGCATACAGGTAACTGAAATCCTAGACTGTGTGTCTCTGCTCCCAAGAGGCCAACTTGTGTTCTCAAGAGTTCCACCCTTTGCCCAACAGACAGGAATAGTTAGGCAGAAATGGAAGGGACTGGGGTGGGGAAGCGGGACTCAAACTCGTAGGAGCTGGGCAGTAACTAGACTTCAACTTCCCATTGACACTGAGGACAAAACCAGCTCCAGCCAGGGCTCATTGAGTAGGGCAGCTTCTCCTAGATACCTGCCCGGTTGTTAAAGTAAAACCGCTGCATTCGGTTTCTCTTCAGGTCTTGGAAAGATTGCAGCTGGGACTGCCGCCGCCAGTCGTACCAAATGGCCACTGTGCCATTATTGACCACAGTCAGTTCTGAAGACGTTTTCTCCCCTTCTAAGGTTTCAAAGGTCAAGTGGGCAGCAATTCCAACCTGACTCTGGGAAAGGAGGAGGTATGAGAAATGTCTTTGCTTGGGGCCCTGGTCTAGGGTAACCAACTTGTCCCCTTTTGCCTGGAACTTTTCCAGTTTTAACACTGAAAGTCCTGTGTTCCACACCTCCAGAGCCTAGCCACCCTCAAATAGATGGCACCATGCCATGACAGTGGCTGTCTCTGAAGTTGCCATCAATAGTAAAAAGAAGGGATAATAAAACAGATTTTATATCCAATGAACACTTCTGCACCTTAAGGTTCTAGTCTAGAACCTTCTCAAAGCAATACCTGTTGGGGATGGTTTATGTACATGCTTTGGGGCTAGGTACAAACTGGGTAGCTTGTGACATTCCCTTTTCAGCCTTGTGATTTTATTCTTGTTCAAGTTACTGTTGCTGCTACCATTTTCAGAGGTGCTGAATGTGTGACCAGCTAAAAAGACAAAACAGGGAACCGTGCCGGCTCCTCGTGAATGCCACAGTCATGCTGTGACAGTGCACAGGGCGCCCTTCCAGCAGGTTGGTGAGGGTGAAAGTTGTATTACCTTGTCCTGTGGGTTACTGCCTCTGATCCAGCAAGCTGGCTTCCCACAGAACAGCAGGGAAGGGCCAAGAATAGGTATGGGGACCACATCAGGGTAACTGGCCATTAAGTCTCTGTAAAAAAAGCCAAGGACTTACTTTTCTTGAAGCTGCTACAGTCATGCCACAAGGAGCCTACAAAATGGCTGCCAGGAAGTCTAGAGAAGTGACCAGTTTGGCAGTCCAGCGGAATACAATCAGCTCCATTCCAGCTCAGACTCCTCCTGGCCCATTCTTTTGAAATCCAGAGACTCTTCAAGCCCTCATGACAGCCATTCACTGTGTATAGCAGTGGGAGAGTCTGGAGGTGCCCCAATAAACAGCAAAGGAATGTCTAAGAAATCCCCACTAGGAGTTGGTTGCTGGAAAGGAGCAGACAGGGATGGAAAGCTAGCACAGGGGCTGGAATGGCCTGGAGGAAGGGGTGGAAGGCAGCAAAGAGAGGCTAGGATGGAGGCACCCTGTGGGTGCTTGGGGAAGCCACACACTCTCAACCTTTCACCCTAGGACCCAGGCCTGACTCACAAGCTCACTGTGTCTTCAGAGGAGCTTTCCTGGGTACTTTTAAGCAGTGTATAGTCTTCCACTGTAACAGCTGAGAAAGGCTGCCCTCTGCCTACCACCTCCAGGCCATCAATATCCTAAGAGAGAACAAAAAGGAAAGATTACCCAACTGAAGACAGGCACCACCCAAAGGGGCTTCAGACTAGGGCATGGGACATTACCAACCTGCGGGGTAAAATCCAGCTCGGCCAGGATGCTCTGTAGTTCCTTACGTCGGTAAATCAAAAACAAACTTCGATCCCAGGTGTAACGATACCAAGCATCCTGCTGGGCTGATAATCCTACAACAGGGTCCAAAGACCCTCAGCAAAGGCTGCTGTCTTGCCCCTTCCCCACCACTTCTCATGGGCTCTGAGAGTGTCCACTCCAGCACCATTTCTGGGAAGGGTGAAAAAAACAGCTTCTCCATGGCCACTGGATGCCAGACCCCTGCCCCAGACCCCCTCGGCAGTGCTATGAGGACTCCTGCAAAACTGGCTTCCATAGAGCCAAACCTTGGCATTGTACTACTAACAACAAAAACCAAAACCAAACTCACTGCTCGAGTCAGATCTGACTTATAGCGACCCCTCCTTGGGCTTCTGAGGTGGTATCACTAAGGAAGTAGCAGCTACCTTTTATTGAGTGCTTACCATGGGGTAGGACCTCTTAATACATATCATGTTTCATTTAACCCTCTCACAACCCTATAAGGATTTACACAAACTCAATACAGTTGGGATGTGAACTCAGACAGTCTGGTAGGTTCTAAAGCAATACTGCCCAACGAAACATGTGAGCCACAGATGTGAGCCATGCATGTAACTGAAAATGTTCTAGTACTTGCATTTAGAAAGTAAAAAGAAAAGGTGCTATGAATTTTAATAATATAATTTATTTAACCCAACATACCATTTCAATATGTAATCAATATAAAAATTATTTAAACAACAGATTTCATTCTAATCTTTGGAACTGAGTGTGTATTTTGCACTAACCAAACCCAAACCCACTGCCATCAAGTTGATTCTGACTCATAGTGACCCCCATTGGGTTTCCAAGGCTATATATCTTTACAGAAGTAGATTGCCTCATCTTCCTGCCATAGAATAACTGGTGGGTTTGAACCGCTGACCATCTGGTTAGCAGCTAAGTGCCTTACCCACTACGCCACCAGAGCTCCTTTTTGCACTCCCAGTTCAAGTCAGCCACATTGCAGATGCTGTGTGTGGCTCATGACTGCTGTGCTGAACAGCACGGCTCCACAGCCTATATTTCGGCTCTGTTTCTTCTGCCATTTCTATCATCTTTTTACTAAAGAGGAAACTGGAACTCAAGAAAGATCTGTGACTTGCCTAAGGCCATAAGGATGTAAGTGACTAAACCAGGATTTGATCCCAGGTCTGACTGTCCCACCTCCTCCGTCAGCTACATGCCCTGCTCCTCACCCATCTCTTCCTGGATGCTGTGGGGCTTCCTGACGTGAGTGATTGGCTCCGCAAGGCCACGCTGAATTTTTGTCTTCGTCATGGCCAGGCCTGTCATTTCATCTCCCACATATTCCATTTGATTCCAGAACCCACTGCTCTCCTCACAGCACTGGCAAGGAAGAACAGATTAGAGTCAGGTCACCCTGACACCTTGGGGAGGTGCTAGCGGGGAGCCTGGGAGGACAAGAGAACGCAGACCACAGATGCCCGCTCTGGGAACTCATCACTGCCATCACTGGGGAATTCAAGGCAGAAGGGAAGGATCTGCTTTCTTGTCTTCAGGATTCCCTGTGGCAGCCTTTACCTCCCTTAGGAAGATGGTGTAGTGATGGCGCAGGCACTGCACTGAGCTACCACGACCCGATGTGCTGTCCTGCATAGCACAAAAGCTGGAGTCTGAGCTTTTAGGAGACAGGTGATGAGACCATTCTAATAATTCAGTACCTGTGATATCTTTCTCTTCAAAGTGACCACCAAAGGCTGAATGACTTAACTGACTGAATGACTCCACCCCCACCAACACCCCACAAAACCCTAAGCCAGTTGCTGTCCTGTTGATTCCGAATCATGGCAACTCCCTGTGTGTCAGAGCAGACAGGGCTCCTCCATAGGGTTCTCAGTGGCTGATTTTTCGGAAGCAGGTCACCAGGTCTTCCTTTTGAGGAGGCTCTTGGTAAACTCCAACCTTTCAGTTGGCAGCCAAGCACTTAACTGTGCCACTAGGGACCCCAACTAGTCCCCAAGCACCCAATAACAGGATCAATGATATCATTTACTAAAGGTCTGAGGGTATCACAATGCTTTGAAATGGACAGATGTTCTCTCCAACTAAGACACACCATCCCTTTGTTCAGACCCCATCCTGACAGGGCGCTTGGGAGAGGCTGCCCCTACCTTCCCATCATGCTGTGTGGGAAGGACACGGTCGATGAGCTCCCTCTCCTCTCGGATCCGTCTGTAGGTATCGCCGCTGTGCATCAGCAGCTCACTGACTGGTTTCTTCAGGTATTCTAGAAGGAGCAAGCCGAGGATGCAGCCCCTTCACCAAACCAGAACAAGCGGGCCCAGCACCCACTCACTGAGCAGGTTTTAGGGCCCATTAAAGCTTAAGAGCAGGAAGCTCTTGGGAGTGAATGGCACAAACTCCATTAGCACCAGTATGAGACCAGGCTCTGGACAGGTGTGGGGAGAGAGAAAGACAGCAGAGCCTCAATGCCACAGGGAGGCCAGCAGGCGGCCTGTCCACCTTGCTCACCGCTGAGTGCTTCTTGCTGCTTCTTCCGCAGGGCCATGTTGCGCCGCCAGTTTTTCAGAAAGTTGTGCTGAGGAGATGGGGCCCAGAGATGTGCCTTCTCTGCTTTGGCACTTTTTTCCTGCTTTGGCTCTTCTTTCACTGAGATGAGGGTCATCAGACAGGGTGGGGTATGTATCATTTCAGCCAGCTGAAAAGTACAATGTTGGTGTGTGTTGGGTGGTGAGAAGGTGCTGAACTAGGGGCTGAACAGAGATTTCACAAGGCCAACAACCTCCCCCTCACCACCGTAGGTCACCCCACTCCCACTGAGAACCCTCCTTCTCTAGGATTCCAGGGTAGCAAGTACAGAAGACAAATCACAGAGGGCTTGGAAGCTACTATCCCATCTTCCCCAGAACGGGAACCTTCATTCTAAGATTGTGGTCAACATCTTTTAGTATGTCTCTTCCCCTCACAACGGACACTAATTGATACCTTTACCCCAAGCTGCTTAGCACCTCACCAATCAGAGAGTCTTCATCTGGAAGCAAAGGAACTAAATGACAGGGAAAAGCACTGCCTAAGAGAAGGTCAGAAAAACAGACTCTCCATGTGGCCCTGGGAACTGTAGGAAGCCACACTCCACCACCATGTGGACCGAGGAGCACAGCTGATCGGTCTTCAGAGAAAAGTGAGTAAAGCCAGTGCACATAGGAACAGAGGGAGACGAGGGGGCCCAGGCCCTGAGCCTGAGGCTGTCCCAGGTAGAGTTTACTCAAAGCCAGAAACACCCTGGTCCTTGGGTTCCCTGAGGCACCTGTGTCCTCACTGTAAACCCTTCCTCCTTTGGCTGAAGTTAGCTTAAAGTGACTTCTGTGACTTGCAACCAAAGTGTCAACTATTTCAGGGGGAGTCACATATTGTCTCAGATGCAAGGCCTGGAGGCTGGACTGGCCGTCCTGACTGCCAGGTGGTGAGGCTGAAATGACTTGTGACTTCTCAAACAGACCTGAGTGTTCCCTTGAGCAAGTGCAATTCTTTTAAAGTCCTGAAGACTCCCCAAGATATGATGGGGCTGGATGTGATCACCGTCATAGAAGCTGTCACCCAGGCCTGGGGAGAAAGAGGGAAGGGGAAAGGCAAGATGTAGCTAGCTGGCGTAAGCTCTCCAAGTGGTTACTTTTGATAGACACCTGCCTCAAAGACCTAGCATCCAAGATCAGGGTTGCCAGGGCCAAGGTTAGCATACCAGAGTAGTCCAGGGGCTTAGTGACTGCATCTGGAGTGGCAGGATGTGCTACTAAGTGGCAGACCTTCCTTGTAGGATCCTTTGGTTTGAATCTACGGATGATAAATTTCTGGGTAATGGCAGGTTTATCTTCTATTTCCAGGCGAGGAATGTGTTGCTAAAAATAAACAAAACAGAGGAGAATTTCACCTGAGATCAGGAGGAGGAAAAACAGCATGCTGTCTGCTTTGTCCTAATTCTTGGTGGTGGAATCCCTGAGGACTGAGAAATCTGTTTCCCCAGCTCTGCCCATATGTTCTGTCAAGGAAAAGCCTGAGTAGGAGACGTGAGGTTCAATGATGTCCTGGAGGGAAAAAATAAAACTGTATGCCTCCAGACAATTCAGGAGAGAAGTGGCTGACTCTTCTAGACAAAGCATGAGGCTAGCATTTAGTGGCTTTATCTACATCTGTAACTTTGCTCCTTCAACTCATTTTCCCAACTGTTAAATGGGAGTGAGAGTACCTGCTTCCATGGGAAACAACATACCTCATCATTTCACTTCCCATGTGATACTATATGAATCTCAAAAATGTTACAACAACAACAAAAAAAAAATGTTACAACAAACAAGAAAGTAAATTCCTTTAAATAGTACAGGGAAAGGCATTTGTGTTCAGTGGATTTTTCCAGGGGCTTAGACACTCCCACTATGAGTAGGGAGCCAATGGAGAGACAGTGGACTTGGTGGATGCTCTAGACCACACTGGTCAGCAGAGAAAACTCCCAGCAGTAAGGAAATGCTGGGCATTATCCTTACCTTCTTCAAGTCTTCCTTCTTAATGGCTAAGGCGAGGATGTCATCTCCTTGTAGGACATTGCTAATAGGTTCTGGTTCTTCCTGAATAGGGGGTGTGGGTTGCTCAGGTAGCTTTGCTCGCTTCTTCTCTAAAAAGAAGCAGAAAAGTACAAGTGCTTATAGAGTTCTTTCTGTATATATATCTATATTAGATTCCATAGTAGGGACAGAGCTCGCCACCTGAACAGACAGCAGAGGTGCCTGAGCAGCACCTCCTTGGAGCAACAGATCTCCCGTGAAGGTCCCCTACCTCACTCCCCCAGCTGTCCACAATGACAGAAGCTGCTGTAGCCTGAAATGAGGTCAGAAGACCTACGTACTAGTGCAGGCCTGCTACCTGCTTCAGGATGGATAGCCTTGGGTACATCACTTAACCTCTGTCTCTAAGCCTTAGCCTTCCATTTGTAAAACGAGAAGTTTGGACTAAATCAGTGGTTCTCAAATACCAGTCAACATCTGCCTCAAAATCCCTGGGGAACTTTACAAATACAGCTTCCTGACTCCTACAGCCCCAGGGCCTGGGGAGTCGCATTTTTTCAAGCTCCCCAGGTGATTCTGACGCACAGTAGCCTGGGACAGCTGGACTAGATGCTTCCTCACCTCCTTCAGTGCTGGCATTTATCCATTCTCCTGGGTTAAGGAATTCAACAAATATGATGTAAGCATTTTCTATGTGTCAGGCACTAACATACAAGCAAGTGTCTCATGCTTCAGAGAGGGCCCAGTGGAGAGGCAGATCGTCAAACAGACTAAACTAGGGGTACTCTCTCAGCACCTGGGGACCCCAGACCAGTCTGTGGGATGATCAAGGAGGGGTTCATATAGAGGTGATATCTGAACCAGGAACTGAAAGATGGAGAGAAGTTAGACAAGGGAAAAGACACCGGGGAGCAGGACAGTGACTGGAGGTGAGACAACGGGGCACACTCTTGGAACTCAAAGCATGCAATTTTAAATAGCTGGAGTGTAGCATAGCGAGGTGGAAGGCGGAGCGGGAGGCAAGAGCAGTGAGCCTGAAGAAGGAAATAGGTAGTGGTCATATCATAGAGCGTAGTGAGCTGTGTTAAGGCTTTTGTATCCCATGGGTAGGCAATGACGCAGTGGGGAGTACAGGGAAGGTACAAGACTGAGAACAAGACGATTGAGGAGTCTCCTACATTGATGAGATGACTGATGATGACAGTGGTTCGTGGGAATGGAGGAAAGTAGAGAGATTTGAGACATATGTCTCAAGTGGTGGCCAGTGCATGCCTTTGAGAACACATGGGACAGATGTTGGATCCAACTCGATGGCAGTGGGCACAGCTTCTCAAAGTGCGTTCACTTCACTGAAACTCTGGTCTGAGGTTTTTCTGAAAACTTAACTTGAATGCAATACAATAAATGCTCTGTTACTATGAAGTCAGGGAATGGTGTGGTCCAGTTAATGAAATACTCATAAAAATTATAAATTCAACCCAGAGAATATATACTAAGTACCCTTTTTGTGCAATAAGCTACAAGGAAGATGGTATGATAAGGTTAAGACAGGGTCCTTTTCTTGAGGAAATGAAAAATGCAACAGGTACATACACACCAATCAACAACATGTTTATGTGCTTAAATTATTGGCACAGGCAACAGGTTTGGTTAGACATCAAAGAAGGGAGAGACCAAGGTGGATCACGCAGTTTATCGCTCTAAAGAAAGGTTCAGAGGAGCCGCTACTGGGGTCAGAAGCAGCTTCGAAGGCTAAGTTAGGCTTGGAGGATGGGAAGGCTTTGCACAGGTGGAGCAGCAAACGGAGGTATTTCAGGTGAGGCAGAGGTGTTCCAGTCAGAGCAAAGACAGAGTATGGACTGTGTGTGGCATGTGTATGGCAGGGTGACACCAAAGGCTTGTTGGGAAGGTGGGGAGTGCTGAGTAATTTGGGGATGAGAAGGGGAGGAACCAGGGTATAATGGCTTTGTAAAGTACAACTGAGGCATCTAACCTTCCTCCTGCTGGCAGAAAGGAGGCTGGTCCCAGAACATGAGCTGATGAAAGTAGCATTTCAGAGTGTTTCATCCAATGAGTGTGAGCTGTATGGCCTGGAGGAGTGGATGCCAACAGGAAGACCAGAGAGGAGAGATTATTCTCTGGGGTCACTTTAGGAGCTACAGGAGGAGGATTCTGCAGGGTTAAAGTGGAGGCTCAGCTATTTCCTGACGTTTACCTTGGTCCTGTCAGGCCTCAAGTTGAACTGTTCTTTGGCCTGGAAATTTGAGCAAAGGGGGGCTCCTGGAGAGGCCCTGATCACAACAGCTAAGGGGGTCAAAGAGAACTTTCAGGGGTGGTCAGGTGACACCTCTGCTCTTCAGGCAGCAGATGCTCAGGAGGGGGCTCACAGAAGTGGTACTAGCTTCTGAGGTGCCAAAGCAGACCTTCCTCACACAAGAACTGCCACGGAAATTGGGTGGGGAAGATGCTACGGAAGGAAAGGAAGCCTGGGCTCTTTTTCTGCTTCTCATCTTACATAAATTTTATTTTTTATTATTTACTGTTGATTAAAGTCTTGGGGAAATTCTGACCTCATGAGTGTGGTGGGAGAACCAAAGGAGGGGTTGTCCCTACCAGGGCAGAGCTTCAATGGGTGGCATGAGGAGGCGAAAGGACTCATGGGAGTTTTAGCAACAAGGGCAGGGAAAAACTTGGGGATCACAACAGCTCAGTTCCCTAAACAGGTTTGCAGCCCAAATATTTGCCTGCCTTTCTGCTTATAATTCAGAGACCTTGGAAAACACCTAGCACAGGACTATTTCCGTTGATCAGCTGCATTATATATTGAGGTGGAAAGTAGCCCCTAGTACATTAGAGGCTTCGCCTGAGAGATTTAGTGGGGGGGAGGTATCTTGCATGCTAAAAGCTGTTTTTTCCCTCCTCACTCTAGTGCATGTTCTTAACTCAAGGGCTATTTAAGCAAACAAAATTTCCTCTTATTAAAAATAAATACGCAGTGAAAAAATCTTCCCTTGATTTATTTACAGCAGAAAGTTCAAATCAGATAAGATCTCCCAGAAATCAGGTGAGTAGGAGGCAGGATCAAGGCCAGCCCTTGACTGCCCTTGGGAAAAGCAATCAGGTATCTCTCTCTCTCTCTCTTTCTCTCAACTATTAAAGCAGTATGCCATGAAACAGTATCGCAATGTATCTGGAATCCAACTTGTATACTATGAAGAAACACAAAAGAAAAGCCATGCTGAGAGGCAACTAAGCTCTTGCTAGCTTTCCAAGCCTCCCATGGGGCCCCACTGACTCCAGGCCAGATCCTCTCATCACACTGAGCTTTCTCCTCAACTTTGAGAGAGGGTCTCCTTAAGGCCTGCAGGACCACACCCTGATTTTTTGACATAGCCCATAAAGCCCTTTCAGGACCTAGGCCCTGCCCATCTGTTCAGCCCCCTCTGGTTTCCCACTCTATCCACACTTGTCACTGATGCCCTGGCCACAACACCATATGTGCTCAGTTATAGACCTTAGCTCATGGTGATCCCTAGACTTGGAAGAGCAACCCCTCCTCCCTTTCTTTTGGTTTGTCACAGATACCAGTTTCTTCAGAAGACCTTCCCCCGTCCCCAGTTCTTCCATCCAAGGCCTGAGTCAGGTCCTCTGAGCCCCTTTATCCCTCAACAACTGCATTTACAACACTGTATTATCTTTAACATTTTTCTAGTTATTCTTGTTTCCACTAGACTGAGTTTCTTGAGGGCTGGGGCCACACAGTTAACACTGATAACCACTGATGCACAGCACATGCCCACACACAGCAGACTTTCAATAAATGGAAACAGCAAAGACAGATTGATGAGGGTGTGGGCTGCACATGGGAGAATGTCCATGGTGGTCAGTCTGCTATCAGGCACCTGTGACTCTCCCACCTGTACCAGGGCATAGCTGCAGAAGCCAGGAAGCAAGTCATGTCCAGTGGCTATCCACACTAAACAAACTGGACAGGTGTCATCCAACCAGAAAGGGCATATGAAAGGGAGTCAGACACAGAACTAGCCATGTTAGGCATTTCTTCTGGGTTTTTCCACCAGGACTCCTAGCTAACATCCCCAAAGAACCCTGTCAAGGTCATTGGTTTCACCACCCCAACTTGTTTCTTGCATTCTTCCTTGACTCCCCTCACAAGGATCTCATTTCTGACCTTCTAATCTTAAACTCTCCCCTGGCAATTCTGTACCCCACTTGGTCAGGGGATCCTGCCTCTTGTGTCCCACCTTAAGACTTGATTAGAGGCAGGGATCTCCTATGCCTTCTTAACCAATGCCATCTCCCCAAAAGTGATCTCTGAAACCCTTCTTACCCTGTCAGTCCCCCACTTCCTGTGTCCTCACCCCCAAGGACCGATGCTCCGTGGCCCCTCCCCTGAGAATCCCAGCCTTGTATGTTACTTCCAAGACCCAGTGCACTGTTTGTCACCCCCAAGACTCAATGCCCTGTGCCCCCTCTCTTAGGTGTCTCCATCTTGTACATCACCTCCAAGTCTGTGTCCTGCACCTCATGCTCCAGTGATCTTTACTCACACCTGTGGGGTACCCCATCTTCTAGGTCCTACGTGCTGACGCCCATGCCAAGCACGAATGCCCTGTCTGGCTCTCCTGACCTCCCAAGGCAGCCAATGCCAACCTTTCAAGTTCTCTGAGGCCTCCAATAATCTGTTTGTTGTTATTCTGATGCGAGATTCCTTCTTTAGAGACTTCATGGTGCTGCCTGGGCTGTAAATGGAGCCCTGTGTCACCCGGACTCAGGCTACGTGGCTGGGTGACAGCCCCCGCGACCCCGCGCGCGCTTCCGCCAGCCAGCAGCCGCCGCTGTATCTATAGCAACCGGCGTCCCGCGCGGGGCCGCGCACCCACCGAATAGCTTGGGCGGAGACTGCTTGGACACCACCTTCTTCATCATCTTGCCGCGCCCGCTCCGCAACCAGCTCCTCCTCCAAACAGCTCGGAAAAGCGTCCTAGGGTTCGGGCCGTGACGTCACAATCGGCGCCAGCGAGCGCCGTGACGTCAGGGGCGGGTCAGACGATTTTTCTCCTCGCGGGCCGAATAAGACATCGCGGGGAGATCTTGCTACTGGAGCCGAGCGGGGTGTGTGTGTGAGGATAAGGTGACGTGGGGGCCTGGGGCGGTGTGACCCGCCCTGCCGTGCTACTACTAGGCGAGGGGACATCCTCGCTGCCAGCCCCTTCCCTGGATTCTTCGCTCCGGCCTGCTGACCCGTCTGCGAGCTTTCCCTCTGCCCCACCAAGCGGGCGCCAAAAGGATTGGTCCTTTCACCTTGTGCTGGAAACCCCTGAATGGCTTCCTGTGGACTTTGGGTGGCTGATGGTCCCTGCCTGCAATTCACCTGCGCCTAGTAACCTTCTTCCCCGCTCGCCCTCCGCGGCAGCCACTCGGGCCTTCCATCACTTCCCAAACAAGCCAAGCTTTTACCCTGAACTCCTTGTTGTTGTTGTTTGCCGTCGAGTCGGCCCGACTCATAGTGACCCCTCCTTGGGTTTCCGAGGCAGTATCACTACGGAAGTAGATTGCCCAACCTTCCTTCCGGGGAGTGGCTGGTGGGTTTGAACTGCCAGCCTTCTGGTGAGCGGTCAAGTGCCTTAGGCACTATGCTACCAGAGCTCCTGAACTCCTAGGGTGCTTCTTATCCTCGGTCTCAGTCTTTGGAGATGCTGTCCTTGACACTCCTCCAATTTCAAATAGCCTTTCTCTGTATTCTCAAGTTTTTAAACGCACCTGTTTATGTTTTCCAGAGCTTTAGCACAATCTGGAATTGCATTGTATACGTGGAAGCTCTGGTGGCTTAGTGCCTAAGGCACTTGACTGCTACTAGAAGGCTGGCGGTTGAAACCCACCAGCCACTCCTTGGATGGAAGATTGGACAATCTACTTCCGTAGAGATACTGCCTGGGAAACCCAAAGAGGGGTCGCTATGAGTCGAATCCAACTCCACAATGAGTTTGGGTTTTTTTTTGGATGTCAGGTTCTATGTCAGAATGCAAGCTCCCTGAGAGGAGGGATCACCTCTCACTTAACCCCTCTCAACCCAAAGTTCAGCACATAGTGGTCACTCTATGAGTCAGATAATGAAGGAAGTCTACACCCAGACAGAACCTGGTTCCAATCCCAGCTCTGCCTGCTTGCCAATTGTGTGCTCTTGGGCCAGTCCCTCAACCTCTCTGCACCACAGTTCTCTCATGTATATAATGTGGATTATAATGCTTCCTTTACAAGGCCACTGTGGGGATTAAATGGGATTATGCATTTAAACCATCTGTTTTCATTATCTAGTTCTGCTATAACAGGAATGCCACAAGTGGGTGGCTTTAACACACAAATTTATTTACTCACAGTTTAAAACACTAGAAGTCCAAACTCAGGGCACTGGCTGTAAGGGAAGGCCTTCTCTCTCTGTTGGCTCTGAAGGAAGTTCCTGGTGTCTTTCTTTCTGCTTCTTGGTTCCTTGGAGATCTCCATGTGTCTTGGCATCTATCTTACCCCATCTTTGTTCTGCTCACTTGTTTAATCTCTTTTATATCTCAAAAGAGACTAACTCAAGATACACTTTACACGAATCCTGCCTCATTCACGTAACAAAGACAACCGATTTCCAAATGGAATTGTAACCACAGGCATAGAGGCCAGGGTTTACAACACATATTTTGGGGAGACACAATTCAGTACATAACACTACCCAATACTGTGCCCTCCATAAACTAGTGTCTTCTCAACACTTCTGAGGTGATGGAGATGTATTTTATACCCATTGTACAGATGGAAAAACTGAGCTCCAGAGAAGAGAAGGGTATAAAGTCACCTGACTAGCAAGAACCACAGCTTGAACCTCTTTCAACCAAGTCCAAGGCCAGTGCTTTTTGGACCCTGTTTCCCGGGCCATTTCTGAGCTTAGCAGCGGTCTACTCCAGACGGGAGGATGCTAACAGAGCTGGTCAATCCCTGGACTCCCTGTAGATTTCCCACTACTGAACCCCTCCCCTTGCCCATGGCCCTCTAGACCTTCACTCTATGACTGAGATCAGCCTTTCCTCTCCTGCCCTCCCAGCCCCAATCTCCCTCTACCCTCTCTAGAGCCTCTCCAGCTGAGTTCACTCCATGAGCATTAACTGAGTACTTATGGTACTCCAGGCTGGATACTGTGTCAAGTAGATCCTCCAAGAAGCAAACACTGAGATGGAGATAGTACAAGAGGTTTACTGGGGCTGAGGTGGGGGGAGGGGGAAGGCAGTGGTAAACCATATGAACGATGAAGGGGAAGGAAGCAGGACTGGGCTGAGAGAGCCTCAGACTATGATACAGATTTGACAATGGGAACGTCAGGGCAAAGATGCTCATTAGAGGAGTCCTGCGTTGGGCAGAAATACTGGGCCTTAGCAACCATGTCATGGTTAATCATTGGCTAGAGGCTGCCTGGGAAGAGTGTGGCCTTAGCTAGAAAGTTGAGGTGGATGCTGAAGGTGATGCAGCTGGAGGCTGTCAGCCAACTGAGCTCCTTGTCAGTGAACAGCAAGTTCTTTCCTGAAGATGGATAAAAACAGCTCATCTCTGTGACTGCCACAGGAGCGCTGGGAGATACGGAGGAAAATAAGAAACATTTCCTCTTACCCTCTAGGAGCTCAGTCCACTCAGAAGAAATGACAGACTCCCATAAAACTCTAATCTCAGTTTCCAGAAGGCCTGCTTTGGGAAGTTTCATAGCTATGGATGGCTGATCAGGGAGCAGGATAGACACCTGGGGGCCATGGAGGGCGGGTTCAGTTGAGGTTAGAGAACAAGGGAAGGAGGAACTGGAAAGGGTGCGTAGTCAGGAGTTGGGCAACCTGACTGGGCTCTGCCACCAGGCGGAGTGACCTTGGACAAGTCTCATCCCTTCTCTGTGCCTTGGTATCACCATCTGTATCGTGAAGGTGTGGGAACAGATCAGAGCTGCTAACCATTTGAGAATCTGATTAAAGCTATGAACCTTCTCCCAATAATGTGCATTTGAAGTAGGTTTTTCATTGAGGTAAAATACACACAGCATAAAATTCACTATTTTAGCCATTTTAACATGTATGACTTAGTGGCATTTGGTCCATTCACAATGTTGAGCAACTATCACCACTATCTAGTTCTGGAACATTTTTATCACCCCAAAAAGAAACCTTGTGCCCACTAAACAGTTACTCTCTATTCTCCCCTCTCCCTAGCCCTTAGCAATCAGTGATCTGCTTTCTGTCTCCATGGATTTGTGTATTCTAGACATTTTGGATAAACGGAGCCATGTAGTATGTGGTCTTTTGTAACTGGCTTCTTTCAGTTGGCATAATGTTTCAGGATTCATCCATGTTGTGACATGTTTAAGTTCTTCAGTCCTTTTTATGGTTGAATAATATCCTGCTGTATGGCTATGCCACGTTTTGTTTATCCATTCATCTGCATGTTTGGCTTTGCATGCAACTCTATTCCAGGAATTCCCTGAAGCCCATGCATGTGCCCCTGGGATGGGGGTGGTCCAGGTCAGTGTGCCTCTGATACAGAACTGGGTCACTGAAAGTGGCTTGCTAGCTCTAACATACTTGCTCAGGGGTAGTGACTAATTGCAATATGGGGATGGCAAAGTGGATATTAGGGGAGGCTTCTTAGAGGAAAGGAGCTCTGGTGGCATGGTGCCTAAGACATTTGACTGCTAACCAGAAGGTTGGAGGTTCAAACCCACCAGCCACTCTGCAGAAGGAAGATGGGACAATCTATTTGCATAAAGATTTACCACCTCATTGGGACTCTCATACACTGCTGGTGGGACTGTAAAATGGTATACAACCACTGTGGAAAGCAGTATGGTGATTCCTTAAAAAGTTGGAATTAGAAATACCATTTCATCCAGCCATTCCATCACTAGGTATATATCCTAAAGAAGTGAGAGTCATGACAGGAACAGACATATGCACACCCATGTTAATCACAGCACTATTTACAATAGCAAAAAGATGGAAACAACCTAGGTGGCCATCAACTGAGGAATGGATAACCAAACTATGGTATATATACACACTGGAATACTATACAACCCTAAAGAATAACATAGAATCTGCAAAACACCAAGTGGATGAACTTGGAGGACATTATGCTGAGTGAAATAAGTCAATCACAAAAGGACAACTATTACATTAGTCCATTATTGTAAAAGTCAAGGTAAGGTTTCTATATGGAAGGAAATTTTCTTTGTTGGTTACCATGGGTGGGAGGGGAGGGGAGGGAACACTGTTAGATAGGTAGAGACAAGTATTGATTTGGGTGACGAGAAGGGCAATGTACCAAATGTGAGTGATCACATGTATTGAGGAAGAGGCATTGAGGTGGCATTGAGGAAGAGGAAGACATAGAGAGGTACATGGGAGGTGCAGACAATAAAGACAAATCCTGGTGGCATTGAGGAAGAGGAAGACATAGAGAGGTACATGGGAGGTGCAGACAATAAAGACAAATCCTTTTGCACATACAGTACTGTGTTGTCAGTGAAGGCAAACGGCTATATGGGTGGATAGATGGTGGACAGGCTGAACTATTAGGTATATCTATGAAGTGGGGAGTGTACCCAAGACCATGTATAGGGTTGGCAGACAATGGTTCTACAAGTGTATTTGTATGTTCTGTAAGAATTCCCAGGTGTATAGTAGAGCTGACAAGGAATAAGTTTGTAGTCACTTC